TAAGTCACTTGGACTTGCTAGGAGTTTTCCTAGTGTTGGACTTATTTAAATAAATAGATTTATTTTTTATTTAAATCTTTTACTTTTTTAAATTTTGAAATATTAATAAAATATTATTTTTTATTCTGAGTAAACATGTTTAAATAAAAAAAATATGACTATCTGAAAAAGCATGTGTGAATAGGAAAACATAACTATCTGATTAAGTTTGTTTAAATAAAAAAACATAATTAAATAGATTGTCATAACTTTTTGAATAAAAATTGTGACTGTTTATTTATAATAAATAAATCTTTTTGTTGATCAATTTTATTATTTCTAATTTGAAAGTTTTAAGATTTTGTTATATCTTATAAGTATAATTACATAGTATTTTTCACACCTTAAAGCTTATATATAAGGCGGGTTACATTAAACCTTCAATCCAGCTATAAACTCCCCCCCCCCCCCCCAAAAAAAAAAAGCAAAAAACAATATTCATGGAGGATTTCTCAAGTTCTAATGATTTACTAACAGATTTAATGCTCGAAATCCTTTTAAACTTGCCAGTGAAATCTTTGTTGCGATTCAAGTCGGTTTGCAAATCATGGTACGCTCTCATTAATAGTAACAAGTTCATAACCATGCACTTGGATGGCAGCCGCCGCAACAATAAGGAAAGCATCCTTATCAAGCGCTTCAACAGCGGATCATCACAATCAAAATGTTCCCTCTCAAAGATCTCTCATAACGATTCTTCTTGCAGTAATGTTGATGTATATCTAGGAATCCTTGGCAATTCATCGGTGTATGATTTAGAACTTTCAGCCCACTGTGATGGTATTATCTTTTATTCCAACTGTATTCAAGGTTATAGCGTTCTATGTAATTTGGCTACCAGGGAGACTGTTCTTGTACCGGATACTAGTTCCAGTAACGATTCATTACTTTTATTCTCTGTTGGATTTGGCTATGATCTCAAAAATCATCAGTATAAAGCTGTCAGGATTACCAAGCCTCGAAGAGACAATGATTGGAGAATTTATATGGTCAGGATGTCATACAATGTGGAAGTCTACACTTTGGGATCTTATTCTTGGCGACAAGTAAATAATGCTAAGTCCAATAGCATGAATTCCAGACAAATTAGTTCTCCTCATGGAAGTTTTTACTTCAATGGAGCAATCCATTGGAAAGGTTTTCCTGAAAGATTTGATAGTAATGATATTGTCATCATCTTGTTCAACTTGAGTGATGAAGAGTTCGATATAATACTACTCCCAGATGATGTCAAGCCTTTCATGCATTTTCTGGTGTGGGATGGAAGCTTTGCCGTAAGTCATGTAACTCATAGTAACCATTCATTATTATTAGATGTATTTGCTATGAAGGAATATGGTGTGAAGGAGTCTTGGACAAAGGTATTTACTATTGAAATTGGACATTCTATATTTGTGAGGCCTTTAGCAATTTGGAAAAATAATGAGATTGTCTTAGAAATTATGGACGACAAAGATAGGAATAATTTTCAATTGGTGACCTACAATCTTAGAAGGCAAGAATTTAAGAAGCTTCAAATTCCTGAGCCTCTATTTTTTAAATCTTATGTCTACATGGAAAGCCTTGTGCCAATGAAATCGAGAAGGGAATCAATTGCTTGAAGAAGGATATACACCAAACAAGTGATGAAGATGGTTGAGATCTGTTTTTGTTTTGTTTCTTGGTTTGTTTTAATTAGTAGTATGAGATAGCGGAAGAGATGGTTGATGCTTGGATTTAAACTCTTGACTCGCTAAATGTCGATTGCATGAATCAATTAAACCAAGCTCTGAGTTCAGTTGGATAAAACTATTTGTGCCTGCAATAAAGGTCTCGGGATCCTCTTGATTTTCTTATACTTTATTTATTTCTGTCTCCAGTTTTTGTTATAATCATTAATAATAGAGTAAAGCAGTTTGATTCATTTTTTTTCTTTCCATTGTAATTTGTCAGTGCTATCTAAATCAAATTGCTTAATGCTGGTTCTTTAATACGTACCAAATGCAAGCGCAACTAAATGTGTTCAAATGTGGAAAGAAAAGCTTAATCTTTTCAGCACCAGAAAAGCTTAATCTTTTCAGCACCGGAAAAGCTGGAGATCCTTAGTCAGGTTTAAGATCAAACCAGTTACATTTTTTAGCACTCTGCCCATGGCTGTATGGTAACCCTTATCACTATCAAATCTACTATATCAGCAGTCGAAATCCACAAATATTTTTTTTCCCTCTTTCTTTCAACACATCCAGAAATCAAGCATATTGAATTCCAAGTCCCTCCGAAGCAACCTTCCAAAACCACTTACTGATGATCCTTTTTTCATCCAATTCGAAACTACTAATCGTTTTGCCCATCTTTTTTGGCCTAGTAATTTTATTTTTTTTTTGGATTTCAACCCTAAACCTGCCGAATGCCACTTCTTAAGAGTGGATGTATGAATCAACCGAGTTAAGCTCTGGCTTCAACTGGTAGTATCCTTTGGTGTCAATAAAATTGCTGTTGATCTTGGAAACATTGTATGTGTAGACATAAAGAACATTGGCAGTATTATTATCAATGGATACTACAAAATCAGTCTATGTTTATCCGATTACATGCTTTTTCTTATAGTCTTGTGTTCAAATATGCTACCGGACGAGATTGGTGAGATAAGGTACAGAGACACGTTTGTAGATGCCACCAGATTTTTCACAAAAAAGGAGAAAGAAAATTGGAAGATGAACCTTGTCATGAGTTATATCGAAGTGGACAGTACTCGATCACTAGAAATCCGAAAGGAGATAAAACCAAATCGGGTCTTCTCTCTAAGATGCAGGCTTGCACAACAACAGCAATATTTGGAAAACCAGGATGGTTGGGAATATAAGAGATAATTAATGGTAGATGATGAATAAAGGAATTGCCGGCATATGCTGCAGTTCATTGTAGATGGAAAGAGCATGGTGATCAACAGCTAAGCAATGGTGGAGAATTGCCAAATCATGTTTGCCTTCTTATGACAGCTTTTGGGTCAAATATTTTCACATCTATGAGGTCAAGTCGATGGGACTACAGTGTCCATCCTGCTTATTGTCCTTACTCTGTGCCTTACTCCTTATTGGTGCTGGGAAGGATTCAATAGAAATTTTATATTGATGTTGGAATTTTTTTTTTTTAATTTGGGAAGGGGATATTTGAACTCTACTCTTTAAGAAAATGATCATTCATTAATTACTGAATTAAACGCTGAAATTCATAATTTTTTTTATACATGAAATTTGTAAGGGATTGTACTCTGATTATTAAAACTAAAAGTTCAATGTTCTACCAATGAATGACACAGTTATTATTAATTACTTGTGTTACTTTGCCTCTTCATGCGCTATATTTTCTTCTTGCATAAATGTCTGAATGATCATTTAGTGGAAAATTTCATTCTCAAAAAAGAAAAGAATTTTAATGGGCAATTTTCCTTGCATACCAATCCCAATTAACAAATTTTCCGGTAATTTTAAGCCTATCAACAACATTCCAATCAATCATTTTCCTGGAAAGGCATGGACGGCCCTGAAGAAATAGGAAAAAGTTTTGTGATGTGTTGAATGGAAAAGTTCTCTATGTTGGTGATGGGTAGAAAGTATGTTCCATCCTTTCCCTATTAATTAGTGGAGATAGAAAATTTTTGGTATTTCTGTGTCCTTAACTTTCTCCAAATTAAAGAACCAATCAACCTTTTCTTTGAACAAAGAGGTTCCCAAAGGGTGCTTCGAATAATTGGTTGTTAGGATAAACCAGATCAGCTGAATCAATTTTTGGTTGCTGAAGCTCTAGCATGTAAGGAATTGGTGAAGAAAGGGAGTTCAATATGGTGATTTTTTAGGCAGATTAATTCTCATACGATATACTGGAAGCTTAGAGCTGTGGCCTGTGCTTCGGGATATCTCTCAGCTACTTAAAGCTATATATAGCAGAGAAAAAGTTTAGTTTGGTTAGAAGAAAAACCAAAAAGGCGGCTGATTGGGTAACTACTCGATCTAAGGAGGGGATATATGCCCGAATAGCTGGCTTAGACAGCCATGCACTATCCTCCCTAGTTCATCCACTAAGCAGAAATAGGCTTCCTGCACCACCATAAGTAATAGATTGTATAATAATTCCCATGGCTAAAAGAGGTTCTTATCTGATCTCTTATTTCTTTCAGGATGATAATGACATTTAATATTTATGCTTTGATTATTTATTATTATTATTTAACTATTCATAAATAATAAATATTCATTATTATATTTAACCATCACATCAATAACATTTTGATTGTCATATTATCAATATTCACATATGATTTTAAAACAAATAATCATCTATCCAACTATTCATATCATCAATTTTTTTTTTGTTGCAAAAGAGGACTAATGCCCTTACAATGGGGAAGGGAAACGGCAGGATCGAACCCACGCGTACATAACTTTTAACTTGCCTCTTAACCACTAGGTTAAGAGGAGAGAGTCATTCATGTCATCATTTATAAAATATAAAAAGGAAATTTAAATTACACATATAACATCTTCTGCTTTTTTCTATTTTTTCTCTTTTCTTACCTTCTTCTCTCTTGTTTCTTTCATTTTCATACATCTTATTGATTTAAGAGTCGGAATGCTATCTGCAGCATCTTCTCACGTTCGTCTCTCTTAAAGGTCTAAAACGTTCTCTAATTCAGTTTTCAGTAAATTTCTTAGTTTATAATTATATCAACACTCATAATTTTTTGAATTTCTGTCGATCTTAGAGTATTAAGAAAAGATTTGTAATATTACTCTGAGCATGTACCTTTAATAAACCATCAAAGTTTTGTGTCCATTTTTCCATGGGAAAAGTAGTCTAAGTTTGCCAAAATATAAATTATACTAAGCAAGCTAGTAGGAGTATCTTAATTTATTAAAAAAAGAAAAGAAAAAAACACTATTGTTGTAGGACCATAACTATATTATAGCAAGTTGCAAGCTTTACAAAGTCATTTTCATTTAATTTTTATATATATTTTTAACTTGACCAAGACCCTAACCTCACTGACTTATAGCTAGCCACTGCCGATCTGTTTTCCCCCTTTCTTGGTAGTCCTTGCTTCAGACAACCTTAACTATACTCATCTTCCTCCTTCAGCAGCAACGTAGCCGATCAATGACCCATATTTCTTTTAACCTGTTAGTCAAGTTCGACCACAAGCAACATTTTACAGCTCTCTCATATTTAAAGAGGTATTATTATTCGGCAATTTTTTTGTTTACAATATAGAATGATTGAAATATACTAATTAATTTTTATTTTACACATATTTAAAAATTTTTGCATTTATTTTACAAAGGATGTAATATTTAGAGGTTAACTCGTAAAAATAATTAGATGAATTTTTTTTTATTTGTATTTGAGACGTAAGTATTTGAATACTTGGAATTGAATATAAGAGTACAACATTCTACAAATTATTAATTCTCTTAATTAGCTAGCATTTTACTTCCTTTTCAATTATTAGTGTTTCAAGGTTATATTTGCTATTTTGCATTAATTTTATTGGATTTTTTTAAATTAAAAAAAAAAAAAAAAGAGTAGCATGGAGGATTGAAATATGCTAATTGTAAAGAAATATACATCAATTTTGAATTGATGTCCTAATATTAAAAGTCTATAGAATTTGCAGGTTCAAGAATTTGATCTTTTAGAAAAAAGCAGAGGAGAGGTATGTCAACATTTTCTGAAACAGTAATTGAAATTTGGAATGAATGGGAGATCCGAGCACTGCTTTTACTCAGTCTATTATTACAAGTAATACTCATTGCATTAGGATCTCTACGAAAACGTTCAACAAGAATATGGATCAGGTTTTTGGTTTGGTCGGCATACATGTCAGCAGACTTGGTAGCAACTGTTGCATTAGGCATTCTTGCCAGGAACATAGGAGGTAATCCTGGAAACAAGAATTCGAATCCAAGCGACTCGCTCCAGTTGTTTTGGACGCCATTCCTCATCCTGCACCTTGGGGGCCCTGACACCATTACCGCTTACTCTTTAGAAGATAATGAGTTGTGGCCAAGGCATTTTCTTGGCCTTTTAGTTCAGACGGGAATTGCATTTTATGTGTTTGTGAAATCTTGGGGTGACACTCGTCTTAAATTAATTGCCATTCCAGTGTTCATTGCAGGAATTATCAAGTATGGAGAAAGGACTTGGGTGCTGAGGACGTCGAGCACTAAATGTATTAGGCATCGCTTGCTCTCAGATCCTGATCCCGGACCTGATTATGCTGAAGTTATGAGAAAGAAACAATTAGATGCCAACTTCAAACTGTCACCACGGAAGGTGTTTCCTCAAAGATATGATGGATCTCTATTTGATCATCTCTCTCAAGCTTACTACCTATTCAATAGGCTTAAATATTTATTTGCAGACCTTATCCTTGGCTATTATGAGCGACAAGATTGCCACTCCATGATTAGCAACAAGTCATCAGAAGAAGCCTTTGAATTGGTAGAAGGTGAGCTTGGACTTTTGTATGATGTGCTCTACACCAAAGCAACAATAGTCTATTCACGATACGGGTTCTTGCTCCGGTGTAGCAGCTTTTCCTCTTCTGTTTTTGCAATGATTAGCTTTGCAATTTTCATTGAACATCCATACTCACAGGTTGACATTTCAGTAACATACTTACTGCTAGTTGGAGCTATTGCACTCGAGGTTTATGCTTTCGTCTTACTTATTCTCTCTGACTGGACAAAGTTATGGCTAGTGACTTATTTAATACAAGTGAGAATTGGTAAGAGGTGGTCAAGAACCATGTTCAAGTACAACTTGATCAAATTTTGCCTCAGAAAACAGGCCACCATGTGGATCAGATTTCAGAAGATACTTGGCATTGAGGAAGTAGTGGAGAAGCATCTAAATGTAGATTGCCAGGATGTAGATGCTGAACTACAAAAGCTCATCTTCCAGCAGCTAAAAGAGAGAAGTGAGAATATCAATAGTCTCTTTGATGTCAACTCATGCAAAAAACTGTTGAGTTACAGAGGTGATTGTGTGCTTGATAAAATGAATTGCCTTGAGCTTCTTAAATGGAGCACAATCGAGGTAGAATTTGACCATAGCCTTCTTCTTTGGCACATTGCTACTCAACTCTGTTACTATGAGGATGTTAAGAGACTAGGAACCAATTATCTGGAAACTCTCAGTAAATACTCCAATATCAGCCAATGCTTATCAGATTACATGCTTTATCTTCTTGTCATGTATCCAAATATGCTTCCCAAAGGGATTGGTGAGATAAGATATCGAGATACATGTTCTGAGGCCACCAGATTTTTCCAACAAAGGAGAAGGAAAATTGGAACCAAGATAGATGAAGCTTGCCATGAGTTGTATGAAATGGACACTGACTTATTAGATGATGTTAAAGGAGATGCAACCAAATCGGTTCTCTTCTATGGATGCAGGCTTGCAAAGCAATTGCAATACTTGGAATCTCAGAAGGATTGGGGATGTGCAAAAAAATGGGATATGATCAGTAAAGTGTGGGTGGAATTACTGGCATATGCTGCAGTTAATTGTGGATGGAGAGAGCATGGTCAACAGCTAAGGAGAGGTGGGGAGTTGCTGACACATGTTTGCCTTCTTATGGCACATCTTGGCTTAAGTGAACAGTATCAAATTAAGAAGGAATACTTCCGAATCAGTGTAGACAGATGGCTGGAGCAGTGCTCACGTATGTACAAGAAGCGGAACAACGTATGTACCGGACTTGGAATCACTGGATTTCTCATAGTGAACTTTAATCGTTTTGTGATGAATCAGTAACTTGCATGCTGGTAGCAAGCTAGATATTGTTGGAATTTCAGCAGATCTCTACTGGAAAAACTTATTTTTAATTTGCTTTTTTAAGCATCGGAAATCTTTCTTCCTTAATCTATAATTGCCTTTTCCAAGAATAAGTTCTAAGGAAAGGTAAACAATGAGATTATGAAGTGAGCTTACAACTGCTTACCATGGAACTCTGGTAGCAATCAATTTCTTCCCCCGCTTTATTTCTTCTTAGAATGAGAAGATTTTCTTTGAATGAAAGTTTGCTTCATGCTTTTTTTTTTAATCTATACAATATATCTGAGTGAATTTGTCATCTACTTATTAAAGTATAAATTTGTACCTTAGCTCTTCCCTTCACATCAAAAAGCTGCAAACTTTTTTTTCCTATAGATAAGAATTTCAATAAAATAAAAAATGGCAATTGATTATGCCACTTCATATATGGCAGAGCTTGTCATGCCCTAAACTTGATTAAATTCAATATTAACATTGTTTTACTATCAGAACTCTCTGAAGTCTTTTTGGATAACATCAAATTCCTGAATCCAAATTTCTTTTAGCTTAAATAAATGACAACATCAGCAATCAGAACAGAGCAAATCAGGAATCCGCATCATTATCCTCGATCTATGACTATCAAACCAGAAAATTTCAGAAATCCACACTATTAATCTTGAAAAATTTTATTTATAGCACAAAAATTCTGATAAACCCCAATTTAGGATGTTAATTTCTCTGTACATTTATGATAATATCTGTACATTGATGAAAATTTCTGTTCATTTCTCTGTCTCACTCAAGGTAGTACGGCTGTCTTAACTTTTTATTCATACTGAATAGAGCATTTCTTGTGCAACTGTTAAACCTGAGAAAGGTTATCGAGAGGAAAGCCTTCACCAACCAAAATCTAAGACAAAAACTAGGATAAAAGACAATGAAAGTGATAGGGATTAAAAGTTTGACAAAAACCAAAAAAATATGTTTGGTATTTAAGATGTTCACATGAATTGTGATACAAAAATTTTCATGTCTGTAATGTGAAGTTTAATTTCAAGATAATATGAAAATTTGCTGAAATAGTACCTTTCCTTTTAATGGGTACAACTAAGGGTTTCCTGGTAATGGACAAAAATCTCTCTCAAATCAAATTGGGAAACTGAATGCCTCTAGGCCATGTTAGAAAAGGAAGAAGGTCGGGAAGACTCATAATTCTTGGGTGTTAAATGCTAAATGGTTTAGTACATAACATATATAGCAAAATCTTGGTATTACTCAATTCTCTAAATAGGCAAGAAAAATGCAGCAAAAAAAGAAAATAAAATATAACCAGACTTGAAACATTTTCACCTGTACTATCTCGTCTCCTCCATCAAGCATTTGATTTCCTCATTTGACCGAAACGAGACTATTCACGTATACAAGAGTTGCGAAAGACTTTGGAACCCCACAAATTTGAAGATCCTTGAGTTCTTTTGTTTCTAAGATTGTAAGACACCACCTGTCCGTTGGAGCCTTCCATGAGAATCTCATCATTTTTCCAAAATATTAAAAGGCATTTCCAGTACCATTGTAAGAGGTCCAATTGTCAATACATAGCTTTATCCAAGATTCCCTCACTCCATATTCCTTCATCACACATATCTCAAACGATTTTCCATTCTGCCTTTCCGGATACATTACTAGAGCAACGCATCGATTCCACACCAAAGGACTCCTACACATTGAATAACCATACATGGACAGGAAACTTGGAATTGGTATTAGTATTACTTGGAATTCCTCGTTTCCCTTATCGTCCATAGCATATACCAATGAGATGCTCCATTAAAGTATGTCTCAAAACATGGTGAATACCAGACATGGGCAGGGACCTTAACATTGATTTCTTTCCAAGAACCAGTTCCCAAAGAGTATTAGGAAAGCTGAGGTAAGTTAAGCCATTCCCAATATGAAACTATCCTAGTAACTTTTGCAGTGATGACTTTTAGCATCATAACCAAATCCCAAGGCACAGGTTTACGCGATCAAATTTGGGATTCACGGATAACAAGGGACAGAACACTCAGGGAGCACCTTTGACTCCCTAGTTGCAGTGTCACATAGAACTATATCATCTCTGTAATTTGATGGGCTAATAATGCCATCACAATGACCCAAAAGCTGTTTAGGGTGTTTACCCTTTGGGAGGTGATGCTTACAAGAGAGACGCTATCCTTTTGGTCTCTCCTGTTTTTAATCGATGTCACAAAACTTCACAAATTGTTTTAATAGGTACGATAGAGTCAAATTTTATGTCAAAGTTATGAAATCCATTATCTTTTCGGATATAAAACGGTAAACGGAATGTTTATTAATCATCTAATTTTAGATAAATTTTTATTTTAATCACTAAATTTTGTAAATTTACGATTTATTTTTTAATATTTACGATATCATTTTTTTTAACATTCTACTGTTAATTTTTAATAATATATTAAAGTAACAATGCTATTTCAAATGTCGCGTGATATTAACAGTGACATTATTTAATATGAATATAATATTATTAACGTAATATTATAAATTTAAAAAATTAAAATTTGAAAATTAAAAATAAAAATAAATTAGTTGCATATAAATGGTTAATATATACTATATTTACTATTAGATATACTAAATCATCTAATTTGTTTTTTTTTTTTCAACTTAAATACTTAAGTATTATTACTTGTTTGTAAATATTTCTATCTCTTTAAGAAGTTTGTAGTTTAAAATATGGTGTAACTCACATTAAATAAAAAAATCATTTATATGTAATTTAAAAAATATTACTTGTGTTATTTATATAATTAAATTAAGTGTTGGAGAAAATCAAGTTATTTGGGTTTGCTAAAAAGATTTTTAATAGGCCAAATAATTTTAAAAGTCAAAGGAATATTAATAAAATATTATTTTTTATTTTGAATAAGTATGTTTGAACAGAAAAACATAATTATTTAAATAAGTATGTTTGAATAAAAAAACATGACTATACAAATTATCATAACTTTTTTAATAAAAATTTTTAGGCTGTTGGTTTATTATAAATAGATCTTTTTACCTAATTAATTTTATTTTTTCTGAATTGAGAGTTCAATCCAGCTATAAACTCCTCCCCCCGGGAAAAAAAAAGAGCAAAAAACAAAATTCATGGAGGATTTCTCAAGTTTCAATGATTTACCAACAGATTTGATGTTGGAAATCCTTTTAAACCTGCCAGTGAAATCTTTGTTGCGATTCAAGTCGGTTTGCAAATCATGGTGCGCTCTCATTAATAGTAACAAGCTCATAACCATGCACTTGGATCGCAGCCAACGCAACAATAAGGAAAGCATCCTTATCAAGCGCTTCAACAGCAAATCATCACAATCAAAAGCTTCCCTCTCAATGATCTCTTATAACGATTCTTCTTATAGTAGTGTTGATGTATATCTAGGACTCCTCGGCAATTCCTCGGTTTATGATTTAGAACTTGCAGCCCACTGTGATGGTATTATCTTTTACTCCAACTATATCCAAGGTTATAGCGTCCTATGTAATTTGGCTACCAGGGAGACTGTTCTTGTACCGGATACTACTTCCGGTAACGATTCATCATTTTTATTTTCTGTTGGGTTTGGCTATGATCTCAAAAATCATCAGTATAAAGCTGTCAGGATTACCAAGTCTCGAAGAGACAATGATTGGAGAACTCATATGGCCAGGATGTCATACAATGTGGAAGTCTACACTTTGGGATCTTATTCTTGGAGACAAGTAAATAATGGTAATTCCAATAGCATGAATTCCAGACAAATTAGTGCTCCTCATGGAAGTTTTTACTTCAATGGAGCAATCCATTGGAAAGGTATTCCTGAAAGACTTGATAGTAATGATATTGTCATCATCTTGTTCAACTTGAGTAATGAAGAGTTCGATATAATACTACTCCCAGATGAGGTCAAGCCTTTCATGCATTTTCTGGTGTGGGATGGAAGCTTTGCTGTAAGTCGTGAAACTCATAACAACCATTCATTATTATTAGATATATTTGCTATGAAGGAATATGGTGTGAAGGAGTCTTGGTCCAAGGTATTTACTATTGAAATTGGACATTTTATATTTGTGAGGCCTTTAGCAATTTGGAAAAATAATGAGATTGTCTTCGAAATTATGGACGACAAAGATAGGAATAATTTTCAATTGGTGACCTACAATCTTAAAAGGCAAGAATTTAAGAAGCTTCAAATTCTTGAACCTCTATTTTTTAAAGCTTACGTCTACATGGAAAGCCTTGTGCCAATCAAATCGAGAAGGGAGTCAAATGCTTGAAGAAGGATATACACTAAACAGGTGATGAAGATGGTTAACATCAGTTTTGTTTTGTTTCGTTTTGTTTTTCGGTTTGTGCTTACAAAATTGGGTCTTAGAATCCTCTTGATTTTCTTATACTCTCATTTATTTCCGTCTCCAGTTTTTGTTATAATTATTAATGATAAGAGTAAAGCAGTTTGATTCATATTTTTTCTTTCCATTGTAATTTGTCTATATCAAATTTCTTAATGCTGGTACTTTAATATGTACCAAATGCAAGGACAAATAAATGGGTTCAAATGTGTTGAAAGTGTCCAAAATCTGCGTTCGAAATCCCGTCTGTCTGTTGAATCCTGGGATTTGGTTACAGTCTCAAAAATAATCAGTACAAGGTGGTTTAGGTATGTAAGGTATAAGAATACAAAACTATCAGTGGCTTCTTGTGGTTTTTTTCCCGCATTATTTACATTTGGAGCTAATTCCTGAAAAGAAAAGCTGAATCTTTCAGCACCGGAAACGCTGAAGATCCATTGGTTGGAAATAAGTCAGTAAACCATTTTTTAGCACTCTGCTATTCTCCCCGTACTCGCAGCCCTTTTTTTTTATTTTATTTTATTTTTTTTTACAAAAGAAGCCATTGGGATAGGAGAAGGTACAGATATTAAAATTTAAATCTCAAACTTACTAAATTTACTAAATATCACTTCTTCAGAATAACTTCGGGGTCAGCCTAATAGTATTTTTTGGTGTCAATAAGTAGGTGTTGACCTTGGAATTCCTAATTACATTGTATGTGAAGATATTAAGAACGTTAGCAGTAACATTCTCGATGTATAGAGCAAAATCAGTCTATGTTTATCGTATTACATGCTTTATCTTTTAGTCTGTCCAAATATATATGCTATTGAAAGGGATTGGTGAGATAAGGTATAGATATACATGTGTAGAGACTACCAGATATTTTAAACAAAGGACTTAAAATAAAAAGGAGTGGAAACTGGATACAACTTTCAATATTGTCAAGTTTTGTATGTTATTCATTCAAAAGAAATTGTTCCAAAACCAAGCCCTGGTGTTATTTCCCAGAAGGAAGTCCACACCATGGTACCAGTTTAAGCAGGGAGCGCACTCTTTGAAATGAGATCAAATGATATTCCATTATCTTGCAGCCGTTGTTGGAGATCTGGACCAAATACAATACCAGGGGTAAAAACTCCTCCCTTAGGCAGGTTTTCACGCTGGCTCAAAAGTATGAGCGCACATTGAAGTAGCACTATAGGAGTTGTCACATAGCCAATCTCAGGTCCCATTACTCTTGTTATGATTTGCATATCAGGTTTTGAGTTTGTTTCTGAAGCGAGGCTGCTGTCACTAAAACCATGTCCAACAAACCACATCTTAAATGATGCACTTCTCACCTCATCCTCCGAGGGACCCGACTTTCGGAACCATCCAAAGCTGAAAAATGAGGGAAATTTCAAGAGAAGCCACCTGCCAAATGAAGTTCTACTTAAGAGACCAATGAAAATCCCCACTCCGATGATTCGATAGATGCCCGACAAGGATTTTGATCCTATTTTTACGCCAAAATAAGCTGGCTTCACTGTTGACCAGAAGGCCTTCCTCCTTTCGGTATGTTCAGCACTCTCATTAATCCCAGGGAGACCATGGGGGTTCTCTATCAGAGTAACAAGAGTCCTTCGAACAACTACAGCATCTGCTGAGGGTAGCTTTATAGCCCTAAGGCCAATCTTCTCCTGGTATTCTATCATTGGTCCTTTAGGAGGATGTGGACCACGAATCTGCAACCATACAACTAAACAATTGTTACAGGACATTTTAAGAATTATCATCCAGCAATTAATAAATAAATCAGTTTGTTTAAATCAAATATGTTAACCATGCAATACCAGAGAGCTAAATGAAATCAAACGTACACAGTATTGAAAACTAATAGCAATATTTGTGTCAAATAATGAGCTATATGTTAAAGGATGATATCATGATTTACAGGCAACACACCATCATACTCCCACCTCTGCCTCTAACTGCAGCTAGCTTGGAAGTACTGCCAACAACACTGCCGAATCATAGTAAATTTCACCAGTAACCTCGTCTCTTTTGTTGCTGTTGGCAGAAACACTATTCCTACCATAAATCTCTGTGCTCTAAGAAGAAGCAATGCCTCCACTGTAAAAATACATACCCTGTCATGGTCTTTCAATGAACATGAAAACCATCACTACAAAGAGCACAGCAACTACAATCATTGTCTATATATACCCAAAGCTATTTACATCATTATAGTCTATTTTATTGCTGCAGCCACCTTGCCCTAGGTTCACTATCACCAGCTTTACGGCGCGCCGCCACCTAGTCCTATTTCCATTACCACCAATCATGACTAATGCATAGGATGGTGGTGAAGGAAGAAACGGCATACAGCACCATTTCACAGCTACCACCAATACGTTCCTTGGGCTTCATTCTCCCACCACCACGTTTTAGTCATCTGTAGCACATCTGCCATTATAGTTGGTAATATGTGCCACTACATACGCATGTAGCATCTTGCCTTGACCCAAACCAAAAGCAAACCAGGTATCACTAAGCATCATAATGAAGTTGCTTGCACACCATATAGATTAATGAAGCTTGATTTCCTTAAATCTGAAATTTGGTATAACTAGACTGAGATCCACGAGTTACTTATCCTCCTTAATTTTCAAACCAACCAAATAGAAACAATATTACAACAAGGAAAAAAAAATCACTTGTAGTGAGATGAGGTCAGAAAGTAAAATCAAGCAAGGGCATCATTGACTTCCTAAATATCTAGAAGAAATCACAATAGCCATCCCCATCTGTGGCAAATTAATGTCTTAGACAAACCACAAAACACTAGGATGTCACCAACCAACAGAAATGGAGAATAACTGCTTACCACTGGTCTAGGTCTCTTGGGTCTGGAACGCCTCAATTCCTGCAACTTATCCATGTTTGCCACACCCAAAACTGCTGATTCATATGTTGCAAAGTTCCCAACTATTCTTTTATCAGACTCCAAACTCACGTATGCATCAATATAGTTGGGTACAGCAGGAGCCACCCACTGCCTGGAATTGAACATAACCCCCATTTCAGCAGGAATTGAATCAAATCCGCATGCTGAAACAACCAAAGAACCTGTCTGTATAGCATTTTCATGGTATTTTGCCTCCATTCTTTCCATGAACTCAGGCTCCCCACTTATATCCAAATAATCACACCTAGCATAATCAAGAATAAAAACTTAAATAAATTACATAAAGATTTATTACTACAATAAAATTAGAACAACTAATTGAAGGAGTAAATCCTTTAGCTGAAATCAGTGAAGAGGAAGCTTACACTAAATAACACTCATGATTTTAGAACTAAATCCCATAAAACCACACCAAAAAATCACATCTTTATGCATAATTAACATTCAAAAACCTTAAAAAAAATTTAAGAACCTTTTAAATAAAACCCCCATTTCCGGTTCCATCAATTAACAACAAACTAAACACATCCAAATATACAAACAAGATTATATATAACTTTCAAGAAACCAAAAGGGTACCTAAAATAAATGAAAACCGCAAAGCCAGGCTCACCTTGATGTTAGAAGAAGCCAATACAGTTGCCTAATTTACTAGATTCCTACAAATATCAATATCCAATTCAAGATTTTTACCGTCAAGATTTATTCATTTCCACCATGCCCTTAGAATTTCATTCATTTCAACAATAAATCCCCATGAAAAAAAGCTTAAAGAGCACATATTCATGTATCATTAGCACTCAAGAATCCTTAAAAAAAAAACCCTTATTTCCAACATTTAACAACAAATCAAAAAATCCAAATACCCAAACAAGAATATCAAAAACATTCAAAAAGGCCAAAAGGGTACCCAGAAGAGGCGCAAGCAGCAACAACTGGTTCACCATGGATCCTAAAAGGCCCAACACAGTTAAGCAAAACCCTAGTTTGAGTACAAAGACTCAAAAGCGAAGATGGGTCAGTAGTATCAGCAATGATAATACTAACATCTGGAGGAGGAGAACTAGGATGAGCTGCCCATTGAAGAGCTTTAACAAGCTTTTCATGGCTACGGCCAGCAATGGCTAAAGTTTTAAGAGGAGAAGATGGGGTGTTGATAAACTTTAAGGCCTCTTTTACTACATATTTGCCGGTAAAGCCTGAGGCTCCTAATATGATTATGTCATAGAGAGGACGGGGTTTTGGGGTCCGGGGTGTTTGCATATTTTTTGGTTTTTTTTTTTGTTTTTTTTTTGGGTTTGGCTGGAAAATGAAAGTGGAAGAGAAAAGGCGAGAATTGCTATAAGGGTCAACGAGCCGAGAATTTTAGCGGCGGTTTTTGGCTATTAATTGCGTTAATAAGTACGTCATAACTTGTGCGTGCGTTACCAGCACCATTGTTAATATAATCAGGTTTGGATTAGGCCAAATTTGTAAAAGACCTGATGAATTCCGGGGGCTTAGCCCATTGATTCACTCACACCTACATGGGAATGATTTTTTTAAAAGAAAATCATTAACCTTTCATGGGCCTGGTTCGAGGATGCTTAGAAAACTTGGTTGAATGACTCTTAAAAGAAAGACCGTGCATGGAATTTTATTGAACCAAATGTTGTTTCTTGTTTTGGTACTTAACTGGTGTCTGTCTCTCAGAAATCCATGTCTCGACCGCTTTTCCACACTAATACTGTGATATAATTCACCGTATTGGAAACTAAATAGGATAATTTCACGCGTAAGAAGATAACATAATATAAAAATTATATAAAAAATTATATATTATTTAAAAAATATATATTATTTTTATTCATATTGATATACATTTTGATATAATAAAGATCGTATATTATACAAGTTGATATTTTTAAATATATATAAAACATAAAAAATGAGTTTAAATAAAATGTGTTAAACACATTTAATATGTGATATGATACAAAAATATGTTTAAATAAAAATGCCATACAAAAACATGTTCACACATGACACAACACAAAAATATATTTAACATATTTTTTATATTTATTTTAATTTAATATAAACATATAAAAATTATTTTAATTTTTAATCTTTTAGTTGTGATACCTAATTAATTATTCAATAAATCATATAAATATTTAATTATGATACTCATTTAATAATTATTATAAAATTATTTTTAATATTAATAATAGAAATCTTAACATATTAAATATTTATTTTGTTCTTTATAACATATTAAATATATTTGTTCTTTATAACTTTTTATAATAAGATTAAAAAAATTATTAGAAAAGAATTTAGAAGGACAATATGTATTTAATAACATTACTAACATAACAAGTAACATCAAATAATATGACCATTAATCAAGCAAAACAAATCAAAATCACATGAATTTACAATAATATATTATAATGATAATAAATAACATTTATAATGATAAGAAACTATATGATAATCTTAATAATATGAATTATGAAATGCGATTATTTTAAATTATAAGAATTAAAATAAGAGATTATACATTTGAAATTAAAAATATTACATATTTTAAATAATATGTATAATGATAAAAAATTATATAATTTATTATATATTATATGATATGATATTATTAGAATGTAACTTATAAATTATTATTATAGATACGCATCTCGATAACTTATTTTAAATACTTTATTCTAAATCACAAGATAAATATTATGTATTTAAAATTAAACATATGTATTTTATACTAAATAGCATTTATAAAAATAAGAGATTATATAATTTATATTTTTATATCACATGATAAAGTATTATTATAATGTAATGCACATACTCTAACTTATTTTATATATTTTATTTTAAAATACAAATTGCATCATATGATATCCATATATAATTATAAGAGATTATACAATTTATACTAAATCATATATATATGATTTTACTCATGATAATTAAAATATATAATTTATTGTAATTATATTATAACGTATAAATATATATTAATTTAAAATTTTTTAATAATTTTAATAAGTCATTAGGACCTTTTACAAATAAACCATGCTAATTAAGTAATTATTGAAAATATATAGTAATATTTATATATTAAAAAAATAATTTCAATATCAATATATTAATATCATATATATAAAAAAAATAGTATAAAGTATAAAAAATAACTTTTGAAATAAACTTTTATCATATATACATATATACATGATTATCATGTATTCATAATTTCGTATATTTATTTATTTTTAATTAAAATTTACTAAAGTTTATTTACTAAAAGGTAACATTAAAAGGCTAAAAATTCTTTTCGCCCTTTTACTCTTTCGTTTCAGCGGCAGCAAGCCAGCCAGCCAGCCAGCAATGAGCAACGTTCCTTCCCTCCTCCATCGTTTTACTTAACACTCTCTTAACTGCCGGCCGCCAATCTTGCCTTGCCAGGCTCTTCGTTGCAGCCAGCAAGCCAAATTTTCGTGGCCAAATTTTACTCCTTTTTTTTTCTGTGTCATTGTAATTTGTTGGTTTTTTAGCAGCGGCGGTTTGTTCAATTCTGTGTTTTTCTTGGTTTTGTTTTCAAGTTTTTGATGATAGGTACCTGTTAGTATTTGTTGCTAGTTTGATCTGATACATTTATGGTTGTTTTGAGTTGTTTGATTGATTTAGACGGTTTATCAAATTTTATCTATCTTTGAGCTTCGGTTTGTTGTTCTTTGATGAATTGTTAGTTAGAGGACTTGTTTGTTGGGAAACTAGTTTGAATTTTAACCTGATGGAGGACCTAAGGCATTATTTGGGAGATCTGCTCTTAGGTTTGCGAATACAGATTTTCACATTTTTTGGTAAATTCTCATAAGTATTATTCGTATTTATTCGTATCATATTTAAATAATTAATTATATATATGTTAGTTATATCATGTCACATGTAACATATATAATAAATGTATCGTATTTATATTTAAAATTTAAACACATTTTATAATTCATGTCGTGTTTATATTTTAATAATTTATATTATTACACGTATCAAACACGATAAAAAATATGATATAAAAACATAAATTACCATTCAATGATGGATTTTCACATTTGATTTTGAGGAAACCAACTAAAAATCTAATACTATATCTATTTCATTCAATTTATTTTACTAACATAAGAGATATATGCAAGTAATAAACTAATAAAAAGTCACATGCTTATAAAATCATAAATTTTATCAATTTATAAATAAAAGTATAAAACATATATATCAAATAAATAATTTTATCTAAAATTGTGAGCGATGTTCTTTTAAAGAAACAAAATTTTTAAAAATTAAATATGAACTAAATATTTCAGTAATTTCTCTTTCGATGACAATCAAATTACTAAGCAAACTTTCTTATAAATTCGTTTGATAATTTAAAATTAAAAAATTTATGTAAATAAATAAATTATGAATATCATATTTTTAATCAAGTATGATATAATTCAATTGATCTTTCACTTTAAAAGTTAATCTGACTTAACTTGAAATTTTATGTAATTAGACAACTGAAAATCCAATTCCATCGTGAATCAATCCATCAAGTAAAAAAAAATTTCACTTATCCATCCATAATTATTTTTATTCGATCAAAAATTGAATCTTATCAAGTCATTAATTTTTTATTAAACTTAATATCAAGTCATGTTAGTTGTTGCTTAACCTCTAATTATACTAAAATCTGTTAAGTCATTGTAAAAAAAATATATATATCAAGACAGTCATTGTTCTGTATAAAGCATTAACAAAGCATCAAGAAAAAAAAAAAAAGTTATCATATGAAGCTAAAAGATAAACACAAATAGATTATATAAAAATACAAATAAACTAATTTTTAACAATTTTATTATATATGCTTTCAACAGACAGAAAAGTTAAGCAACAAAAAAGAACAAAGTGGGCTTAAGAAACTTTGTAGAATAAAAAAAAATTACAATAACTAGGTCAAAGAAATAAAGTCTAAATTTATTTGTTTTTTACTCAATTGTAAGTATAAATTAGAATTCAAAAAGTTAAATTAAATCTTTTTTTTTAATTTATATGATTGTAATTTAATCTTTGGGACAAACCAATTAACATTAAATGTTTATAAATAATTATTGATGGATAAAATAAATAAATAAACTTTAACATATTTTATTCCTTTAATTTGAGAGGGCCAATTTAAATTTATTTAATATATATAATATATAAATATATGTATATAAAGGAAAATTTTCAAAATCTTTGGGGGGAAGGGGGAAGCCTTGGCCTGCTCTGGTTTATCTAAAGAATCACCTCTGTTGTCAAGTCCATTCCAAACTTGAAAGTAATGTTCATATACTAATTCAAACTATATAAACACACAAATACTTTTTTACATTATATTATTTAAAAAATTTTGCCTTAAATTCAATTGTCTTAAATATTAAAAGTAAACTTCATTAAAAAAATTTATCACAATGTAATATAATCTGATACAATCATGTTAATGATATAATCATTCTTAAATTTATAAATTGAATTAAATATAATTTTTTGTTAATCATCTAAGTAAGCATTATAAATTACATTATCTAATCAAAAAGGTGTTTTTCGCCAAAATAAATAAAAAGTTATAACAAAAAATTAAATTCTTTTTTGCAACTTCCAATTATAGTCCACAAAAATAAGCAGTCAACATTATGTATTGAATCTTCTAACCTAACTTTCACATGTTCTTTTGTACTTCATAACTTGTTCAACAATCAACTTTGGCTGTTACACGAGAGATTCTTTGAGAGTGAGAACTTGCAGTTTTCATTAACAAAGTGAAAAACTCATATTCAGTAAATGCAAATGGTAACTCATGAACCATAATCATATATGAAACAATCTCATTTATCTTTGCTTGATCATACTTTCAAGTCTGAATACAACTCATACTATTTGATCTAAGGGTTTACTGTAGTAGATAAAGATTAGTTTGCCTATGTTCAATCAATTGACATTTAGGACAGCTAGTTAAATGTCTTTTGTATTATGTAGTTGTACCATTTTTGTTTTTGCCAAACTTGATCTTGCAATGATTACACTGCACTTTTTTATTCCCATTAGCAAGTTTCATTATTGTAAATTCTTGCCAAACATTTAATGTCTCTTTTCTTTGTTTTTTTTTTTTTTTTTTGCATAATTGGCAATTCAGTTTCATCATCTTCAACAGTAGTGTGTCCTTCAACATTGACCATTTCATTTCTCTCAACAGAAGTCATAGGAATTGATGATGAATCAGCATTAGAATAAGAAAAATGCAAACTTTCCACAGTTAAAGGTAATTGAGAAGTTAAAGTTAAACTAGTATAATTTTGTGGTAAGTAACAAGACATATATAAAAATTCATAGTTATATCATTATTAAT